TCTTATTATTATTATTATTCTTATTATTTATAAAAATAGGTCTAACGGTAAGACTAATGTCTGTGTAATCAAATCAGAACCAGTATTTTTATAAATTTGCTATTTATTACAAATTGTCTTTTCGTATGTACTTATATCAATATAATTAGAAATAGTTTTTAATAAAATAATACTCATAAAATATTTTTGTATAATTTTCCTTATCCAATAGTTCTAACCACATATTTATGCAGGGTGTTACTGAAATAAGAAGAAAGCTTTGGATGGGGGTTAATTACATGCAATAGAATATTGCATGATGAGCAAAACAGCGTAGTTGAAAATTGTAAAAAAAGCCAGACAATTGCAATCCGAAGCCGGCCCTGGGCGTGAACTTGCAACGTACAGAGAAATTGCCATAACAAATGAGCAGTTACATCGAAGAAAAATGTAAATAGTGACGGTTATGTAACGTCAACAGCTTACTACTTCGCTACCATACATAATAATCATTAGTCACCCATTACGATAACTTAAACTTGTTCATTGTTGAAAGCATGTAGTTTTTTTATACTGACCTATCACACAAACACATTGATCTACTACTGATGACTTCGATTGTCTACGCACAAACGTATTCCGAGGCTTTAACGTTAAAGGATCAAAGAACTGCTCTAGACTAACTGTAAACCTAAACATCGTCAATAACAATTAATCTAATCTAACAAATAACAAACAATACGTGAGTACAAAACGACATAAGAAATACAACAAGGACGGTAGTAGCAGCTGATTGAATGCGACGTTGCAGTGGCATATTTCCCTGTGTGATCCAAGCTTGCTATTTCAGAAGCACCCTAGGTATACATTGTCTTTTCTGCAATGATCAATGATCATAAATTAAGCGAAAATTCTGCGACTCTAGATTTTAAGTTTCAAGATTAACTGTGATAGAGGTACTTTAAAATGCTCTGGGTCGCAAAATGCGCGATTGGTTAGCCTTATTACATTTATTCAAAAACATTGACTGGACTCTTAAGCATATGATTACGGCCAGGCGGCCATTGTTTTCAGTACAGGGACGTACTCTGTGTGGGTGCGAAATATGAATGGTGAGCGTTGCGGAGAAAAAGGTTAGAAGCGTGTGATTATATAGGGGGATAGTAAAATTATCTTGGATAGAAAAGGTTAGAAATGGGGATGCATTAGAAAGGGTAGCAATGCAGAGGGAGAAAATAAGAAATGGGTGAAATAGGTTGCTAAAACATTTTCTCAAACTACTCAAACGGTAGTTAGAGAGATATTAGAAGCAGGAACAGGAGCTAAGAGGAGTAGAGATAGACCAACACTATATTATTGTTCGCAAACAGCGGAGGGGCTTAACTAGTCTTCGGGTCGAAAAACTTTTGATGATAATGATAGCTCAAAGCGTCTTCAGTTTACTTACGTTTTTACCATATTGTATTATGCATCTGGGCAGAAAACGTAAACAATCTTAATTTGCTCCTATGGTGCGTACGTATGCTATTTTTCACTACTCCTCGGTCAGGAAATGAATTATTTTCTGGTACTTAATTTAGCAAGCATATTTATGGAGAACAACATTTGATTTGGATATTGTTTGCGTTATTAATTAGTACCGCATAGTTTTGAATTAAGCAAAGCGTCTTGACTTATGTGAAGTTGAATGTTTAGGATCTTAAATTTAATATCGAGTTACTATTCAGAGTGGGCTAGAACGTGGGTCAGAACTGTTTTAATGAAAAGTAGAAATCAACGAACAATTAGAGTTTTGTCGCTACGTAACCCAAGATCTTGGCCCATGTGCAGGGGCGCAACAACGTTACAGTTTGACTGGGTGCCCCCATCATAATGCTATAAATATTTATATATTACGGGTATGTATAAGCTGAAAAGATCGAATTCGGCTGCTAGAACTATTTTAACCGAACTTTCAAGTTGGTTTATTATCTGAATCGACTGGAATTGATTGGGTGGGTGCCATCCCAATCGAATGGGTGCTCAGGCACCCGTGGACCCCCCCCCCCCTTGTTGCGCCCCTGCCCATGAGATTCTAAAATACCTCTATCTTCGATGCAGCCCCGTATCGTCATCATCATCGTATGGTCGTCTGTCCGAAGATACTGATACCTATTTTATCCGTAAATCTAATCGAACCACTCCCGTATTGTGAATTCAATTCAGTAGATTAATATCGAGCATACTGAAATGCACAAAGGGTAATTAATTCATTATACTATTTTCAATGTGTTTTGCATATTTTTGAATGAACTACATAAAAAACTAATAAAGTCAAAGATTTCCGATTGATCGTTTACAGTAATTTTATTGGTCATTTATAGGTCAATCAATCTGAATTATACAATTGTTATTAGTTGATTGTGTAATTAATGCATAAATATTATAAAAAGTCAAATTACGTCCAATTAAAAGATGGCATAAATCTTATTATCGAAGGATACTTAATTGCTTTAGTATTAGAGGAATATGTTGCAATTACCCATTTTATACTTTTAGTCGCAAACATAACATTTGAATCGTTTGTATTCTAGTGTGGCAACAGCTTTTTTCTTTGTTGTTTTTGGATCGTATTTAGGACTTGCAACAATGTGTTAAACGATTTTCTATTGCAAACATGTAAATTGGCGTTTTTATTACCCAATCAGAGTGTGCACTTACTATTAGTGGATATATTTCGCAAACAAGCATCTTTATCTTATTTAAAAATGTGGCGAATTTGCTGGGTGAGCTCATAATTTTTTTTCAGTAGAAATATTGTCGTATAAACTACAAGAAAATTTTTGGATGAATTTTGATTTTCGGTTTTAAGACAAGGTGCAGTTGAGTGTTACGTGTAAATTTTAAATTGTCATTTCTTACTATTTATACATGTTGCCGGAAATGTATACAATTCCTAGAAAATGTATGCAATTCCGAGGCTATTTAGGAAATCTATAAAATATTGTTTCAAAGATTTTTTGTATGAAATTCCGATATATATTGTACTAGGAAATGTATAAAACTAATGCTTTCCTTGAATCAAATGAATAAAACATGTTAGTAAACTGGGAATCAGAGTTATCTATGTCTATGTGGTTCTAGTTCATATTTGTGTATATATGTATATATATATATTAGGGTGCTTCAAACAAAATTTTTAATTTTTTTTTCTAACTCTTACCACCTCAAATGTTTCTATTTGATGTAAAAAAAATCCTCGCCAAACATGAGCCCTATAGCTCAAATCTAAGGGGTCGCTATTTTTATTTTAGTTTCCCATTTAATTAACATAGGAAAAATTCTTTTTTGTTTTAAATTGAATTTACACATAATTTACGCAATTTTTTCCAAAAAACCGTTTCATATTCTCAAAGTTGAGTCTTTGAGCTTTACAAAACTCTAAGACAAAGTATGATTATCTTTACAAAAAGACTAGTTACAGCCATTTAAAAATTACTAAATTTTGAAATTTGAAAAAATAGCTTGCAATTATTTTTTTTTGCATAATCCTCAAAATTTTTAATCAAACTATTAGTCAGTATTGTATTTTTATATATTACAAATTTCAAAAATGGTTCTCAATACGTAGTGTAGGTGGCACCACACATGATAATAATGAGATAAATGAACTAATCGTATGATTACAATTAATCATGGATTATAATTTTGTTCTATATTTGTTTATATTAATTATCTATTTTTGAAAAAAAAAAATAATTGCAAGCTATTTTTTCAAATTTCAAAATTTAGTAATTTTTAAATGGCTGTAACTAGTCTTTTTGTAAAGATAATCATAGTTTGTCTTAGAGTTTTGTAAAGCTCAAAGACTCAGCTTTAAGAATATGAAACGGTTTTTCGGAAAAAATTGCGTAAATTATGTGTAAATTCAATTTAAAACAAAAAAGAATTTTTCCTATGTTAATTAAATGGGAAACTAAAATAAAAATAGCCACCCCTTAGATTTGAGCTATAGTGCTCATGTTTGGCGAGGATGTTTTTACAACAAATAGAAACATTTGAGGGGGTAAGAGTTAGAAAAAAAAATTAATAGTTTTGTTTGAAGCACCCTAATATATATATATAATTTTTCACACATTTCCAGGCGATTTTAGGAATTATATATATTTCCTAAGAATTGTATACAATGACGGATTAAACATATTTGCGTTAACGTATACACACACATATTATATATACAGTGTGTCTACTTAAATTGGTAGCATATGAGTACAGTAAAAGTTCCTTATTCACGGTTTCCTTATTCGCGTTTTCATTATTCGAGGGCGAAAAAATTGCAACCCAGTTCCTGTATTCGCGATTGAAAATTTCATTATTCGCGGTTGCAATCGGTAAACAGAAAAGGATTCGGTGTCAGTTATTAAGGGGATTGACCGCAATAGACCGCCCATGCCTAGTGTGAATTTTTCCGAATACATGGTTTTCTATTCTAAACATTGTAATTTAACGCTGTGAGATAAATATCTAATATTTTATATGGTAGCAGACAAAGATTCACACTAACTGGGTATGTTTTTGGTTTTCAATAATATGGTGGCATATAACATTTTCCTCTACGAAAAGGTGCCCAACGTCCCTAAAGAAGTTTTCATTTCAAAAAGTTTCCCATATGCTGCCAACTTAAGTAGACACACTATATATATTTTTCGTGTTTTACAATTAATAATTAATACTTTTTGCAGGATATTCTATTCTTGTATTCCGTGTATCAATTAGTAGACGGAGTTCCTCTGAACTTTCGCAGGTAAATTGTATACATTTCTCTATCTGAGCAGCAGTTTTAAAACTTTGGGTATAGTTTCAGGCTTAATCCGAGCATGAGCTTGTCACCCAATGCGACTTACAACTTTAGCTTCAAAACTCCTGCGAGTAGCAACCCCTCTGCGAAAACCAAAAACTTCGATAAAGAACCAGGGAAAATCCGTATCAATGAAAATGAAATTCGTAAAGGTATGTCGGACGAAATGTCAAGAAATGAAGAAATGTATGATTCAAACAGACCTGAAATTGATAGAAAATCAAATTCGGAAGTATTTGAGTCCTATGGAAATAACAGAACCCAGAGAACCAGATTGACCAGCTACAGTGCAATGAATATTTCCCCAAAACCAGACATATTCTATTCACAGCGGATGTCCCACGACAAATACATACCAATGAATCCTAAGAATTATACAATGAATTTCCTAATACCATCAACGACTGCAAAGGATTCCAATTTAGGAATTGAAAAATCGTACTACAAGCCACAACCATCAGACTATTCACCGAAGCCGATTTTGTCGCGGTTGAAATTGAGCAATTTACTTCTACACGGGCCTTCAGTCATATTAGCAAATTTAGAGTCTTTAACATCAACTACACAGGCGCCATCAATGGACCAAAACAGAACCGCGGAAGAAACCGAAACATCATACCAAATTAAGGGTAAAGGGACACAAGAACGGGAAAGAATAAACAAATTGAAAAGAGAAATACCCGGAAGCAGGAAAATGTCGTACAACATGAGAAATGGAGACTCAGCAATCCGATGGCCGTGTGGACCCTCAATAAACAATAGCCCAATGGAAAGTGAGATGGAAATAAGCGAGGAGATGCTCGGTCGGCGAGGCCAGAACCAATTCAAAATACGAGGAATACAAATGGAAGGAGATAATAATCGTATGATAAGCGGAGAAGGAGTCTTACCATTACAAATGACAGATAGAGAACAAAAGTTACATGAAATGACGGATGAGCTGGTACTAGATCTACACCAGATACAACAAAGCGAGGAATATTATCCCATGTCACAAAGCAAGAGACAACATGTGCTGGAGATGTTGGAAATGCATATCAAAGGGATCGGAGCGAAAAAGAAATTGAAAAGAGACTACGATCGACTCCAAACGAAAGAGTCCGAATCAGAACAGAAGATGTCATTTGAGGACGATTCGAGGACAGATGAAGAAGGCAGTTGTCAATCTAGTTACAATAATATTTACGAAGAAAGTGCAGTTGCAACAGAACATTCGCAAATGGAAGAAAGTGAGCCTGATGAACCTGACTCTTCTCCGGAAATAGTGACGAGTCAATATCCGTCATTTCTTTATAACGAATTAAGCATGATCCAAAATAAGTACAAAAATATTGTGAGTCATTTTCTATCACAAATTAGAAACGACGAAAAACATGACCGTGTGTACTCTCAAGAAGAAATTGAATCCGATGAGCCACATAGTTCCGAAAATACATTCGAATATGTACGAAAATTCCGTTCGTTTAAAGGTCCTAACGGACGACTGAACATTTATGATTTTATTTAAGAGTCGATGAAATGAATGAACTTCTTTTTATTTTCAAATCGAGAGACACGCCTCTATGTTTTTAATGGAACTACTTATGAAGATGACTTTCAGACATTAGTTGTTTGCTTTTAATAAATACAGGGTTAGTTTAGATTAGATTGTGTTAAAAATAGGAACAAAATTTATTGAAAACACTTTTTGTGAATGTTTGTATATTACTATTATAAATAATAATTAGTTTAATACAAAAAAATGAAATATTTCATTGAAACAAAAATATAAACGTATAATTATCAAAATATCCAGAACAAACTTACTTAGAACTTACAGGTAATGTTAAAATTATAAATTTGAAACTGCATATAAGTAAATAAAGTTACGGTAATATAAATAATAATAGATATCTATTGTGTGCAAAAAGTATTGTGTGTGACAAGGTGTCTAAGGTGAATATGCAATAAAAAACCTTCCCGTCTATCTGGATTTGATTTCACAAACAGGGAATAAACGGAAACTGTACTTATTTGCGTAAAGTGCTCAATAATATTTTGTGAAGTCCAAATACCTATAATTGTTCCAAATACGTGCCCTAACTACTTGGAAATTATTTTTTTAGTAATTAATAAATGAACCACAAGTTCTCCAATAAAGATTAACGTAGAAATTGCAAGTCCTATTGCTAGAGCGATGAAAACTCCTAAAATCTGTTTTAATTTCAACGGTCTTGTTTCGTTTTGCAATTCAGGCACGGCCACGTGTTTATAGGCAGACATTTCTTGAAACTGCCAATGCCCAAAAATTCCTGCTTCAAAAACCCATTGTAAAATTTGATTCATTTTTTCAAATACTGGAAACCCTCTTCTGACCACGAATCCAACGTAAGCATATTGAATCGGCTGAAAAGTGTTTAATGTTACGCATTTATAGAAATATTCTACACAAAGAGTGCTTAAGATAACTCAGTGCTAATCCAAGTAAACTGTTAAAAACCTACGACACCAAAATACATGCTACAGTTACGCAAATCAATTCATGAAAAATTCATGTATACCTACAGGGTGGCCTAAAAATAATCAACTACCACCGACTTTAATTTTTCAAATAAAAACACCCACTTTCTCATCATCATAACTCCGTCAGTCCTAAAACTGGTTGGACACGCAGCTCCACTCTTTCCTATCCTGAGCTAATCTTCGCATTTCCCTGGAGCAACCCACAACCTTAACAATTTGCGAACAGTAATCTAATCTACTATAGATCTACCTCTACTTCTCTATAACTCCTTTTTCTGCATCTAATATGTCTCTGACTTGACGTTCATGCCTGAGAAGGTGTCCTACCAACCTATCTCGCCTATTTCTTATTGACTTCCATAGAGTCATCTGTTCTCTTACTATTTCTAATACCTCTTCATTTCTGATCTTCTCTATCCACGATGTCCTTATCATTTGCCTGTAACACCTCATTTCGAACGCTTCTAACCTTTTCTTTTCCGCCGCGCCCACTGTCCATATTTCGCACCCGTAAAGCGCCGTGCTCCAAACATACACCTCTAACAACCTTTTTCGAATTTCTAAATGAACCGTTCGCGAGCATAGAACAGACTTAATTATGCATCGAATTTTAACCCAGATTAACTGCCCTTTACCCAAATGCTATAACCCAAATATACCAGCAGATTCGGTATTGTTCCAACAGGACGAAGCACCCCCACTCTATTCGCGAATAGATTTTTCTCAAATAGGTGGGTCGGAAGGAGAGGCTTTATTAAAAATAATGCTGCTAACTTTTGCCTTTTCTACTTAAAAACCTACTATAAGCATATCTAATGTACCTATACAAAATTTTTAAAAACAAAATATTGAATGATCATTTTCAATTACGTCTAGACGTGACAAAAGCGGCTAAAGCACAAATTCCATAACTATAAGAAAATGAGGATTTATTAGTAACTTACGAAAAACTCAATCTTTTCCACTTTGTCGATGTTTTTAATAAATTTTAAATAATAGCTATTCGTAACGATGGAATAATTTTGAGATTTTATGACGCTTGCCATTTCGGTAATCCCACGTTTGGATTGTGGTTTCTTCCATTTTTTCATTAATGATTCTGCCATTTTTGGATGCCCGGTCTCTCTGAGAAATTGAAAATGCCCTTCGTAGAAGTGAATGTCGTATTTGGTTTCATAAAGTTCCTTGAACGTTTTGACCTTCTTTTCCAGCGGTGGTTGAGTAATAACACTACTGACTGTGGCTGAATAGATACTATTAAGATAAAATCCGTAAAGAATCGCAGTTAGCAGCATTATTCGAAGGGTCAAGGATTTGTGAGATACATTTCCACTTCCGGTTACAACAATTGAAAATATGTCCGTTGTGAAATGAATTAACGGAACTGAAAAAGACGTTTCTAACAACTTTAGACGCAGAAGCAGTAACGGCACTATAATTGAAGTAATAAAAATTGCACCAATCCAAAAGTAAGTAAGACAACTGAATTGAGTAATGGTCGCCCAATAAGTCGCATACTTCCGCTGAGGAAGCAAGTAATAACCTTCCATGATATTATAGAAGAATGTCACACTCACAGAGTTAGTTGGAACTTTGTACGAAAACAGGACGTTTGGACTTATGTCTATTCTATTAGTAGTTAAATCCTTTACAACTGAAACTAAGAAATTATTCAAGCATTTAGAGAAAGTTAAAGCTGATCACATTATCATCATAAGGTCGTCATTTCCAAGACTGACTGGTCATGTTAAACAAAAGTTTAATAACTTTCCCTTTATCTCCAATGGCAGAAAATATTTTGTACTTTAAGTGTCCATGAAATGGTCTCAATATAATCCTTGTCTCGAAAATAAGACCTACTGAAAAAGCAACTTGACTGGTACAGTTGGAACGATCAAAGTTGGTCTAGTCGGCAATAAATTATCTGTTTGAATGGAGGAATCTTCTGTTTTGTTTTAACATAGGACTGCAGTCTGCTGCGTTTTAAACACGCTCTTGTTAGGTTAAGAAATGCTTCATGAGTAGTACAGAAGAAAATGAGAAGAGATAACCGAATAATAGTATGCGATGTAGCGGTTAGAGGTTGCTTAGGTACGCAAAAGATCAGGGTCGGATTTCTAACTGCCTGGTTGGAATTATATCTTTAAACAAGCAACTTTCCTAAATTCCTGAAAATCTTGAACTTTTCTTGGTCCGATGCTGTTAACATGCTAAAATTCTACTTATCTGCATCCTTTTCTGTTAAACATCAACTGGTGTAATGTTATTCCTTTTTTTTTATTAGTGCCCGCTGCAATTCCTACCTGACATCTCTTTTCTATGCTTACGATATTCGCTACAACATCTGTCGTAAGTAAAAGTAGGCGTTCTGTCAGCAGCCGCTCTGGTCTAACTTGTAAGTTGAAAGAAGAAAGTAAATGCGACAATTTTATTGCAGACTTTGAACGTCCCAACTAAAGCACGAAGTACGTCTGATAAAGTCGCAAGTATTTGGAGTCAAATACGAGGGCGGTTCAATAAGTATCCGTGTTAGAAATGAAGACCTCTTTTTTTTAATTTTTTTTTTTATTTTTCGACATAGTCCCCTTTTAGAAATATACACTTCTCCCAACGTCCTTGCCATTTTTGTTACCTCTCCAAAAAATAAGATTTGTCGAACTCTCCAAAATCCCCCCTGTCTCGGCGATGACTTCCTCGTTTGAGCTAAATTTTTTTCTCGCGAGTCATTTCTTCATGGTAGGGAACCAGACGAAGTCGCAGGGAGTCAAATCGAGTGAGTAAGGGGTGTGCGGCAGCAGTTCATAATGTAATTCATGCAGTTTAGCGGCAACAACTCCTGATGAATGGCCGGTGCGTTATCGTGTTGAAAACGCACCCTCTTTTTCGTTAAATGCGTCCGTCTCTCCTTCAATTTTTTGTCGAAGCGGTCCAATAACTCACTGTAGTTTTGTCCAGTGATCGTTCTTCCTTTTCCTAAAAAATCCGTGAAATGATTTCCTCGGTAACAACGTTTGTCCGGCTTCCTGGTCGCTCCTATCAAAAACGGATCTTTGCCCACGTTTAAATTCGTTGAAGCAATATCTAACTGTGGTCATAGATGGCGAAATGTCTCCATAAACAGTATCCAACTTTGTTTTCACCTCCTCGCATTTTTTTCCCATCCAAAAACTAAAACAGCGAGTTACCACACGTCTCAGTCGAATGGCTGCCAAATCCAAACTAACTTATTCGTCTTATCCTTCAGCCTGAAATTCGTTTTGGCGCTGTTTGATAGATGGCAGCACACGATGACAACACCAATTTCCCTCAGGAACGTCCTCTGTCTTCAAACACGGGTACTTATTGAACCGCCCTCGTATGTATATGTTGATCTATCTTGAAACCAAGCCCAGTGAAGTGAGTGTAAAATTAGTATGACACTTGATCTCATTTTAGGGAAACAGGGTACTTCCAAATTGGTATTAAGTATATAGTAGTAGTCCGCAAAAAGGAAATTCTACATAATTACATATTACATACTCACCAAGTGAATTATTGAATTGTAATTCCTTTCTATAAACTTTGCTAGGTTTTTTGTTCACTAGTTTAAAACCAATAATTTTTGAGAAAGCTTTTAGAATATTTAATATAGCAAAGGGCTGTTTTATGCTTCTCTCAATGTCACTCCATCCTACTCTTACTGAGCATATTTTACGTTCTTTTGGAACATTTTTGTCAAAGAAGTCCTCTGTGGTGTGATTGTGAGTCAACTTAAATGTTTTTAAACGAATATTGTCGTTGCATTTCAGCTTCTCTGATTTGATGTAGTCCCATGTATAACCAGGCATTTGGTTTTTAAAGACCTGTATTAGTATTACTTGTTGAATGTGCTTCGATCTCATTTCCAAAAATGCTTTTAAAATGTTATGTTCACCTTAAGACAAAAATATCGTCAGAAAATTTCTTCTATCAAATATTTTTTATAATTAACAAAAAAATAGCGCTACTATAGTATACAGGGTGTAACAGAAATCAGTGCCGAGTTTGCAGGAGGCGATAGAGGTAGAGAGAGAGAGATAACACATGAAAATTAAGTAAATGTTTGTATGTCCGAAAATTAACCGTTTTCGAGGAAAACGTAATTGAAAGTACAGATAAATTTAATTCCGGTCCTGGTAAATAAATAAGGTCCGCAACGCTGCACTCAATTAGCTGGTGTAGTCTTTGTTTTGTATATTTTTGCTCATTTACCGACTAATGTCTTACTTACGCTTTTTTTCTTTTGTGTTCGAACATTTACATAGTACTGCGTCTAATGTATTTATTTAATTTATTTAGTGTAAAGGTTATGTGTAGTACTAAATTATTGTTTAGGTTTATCTTAAACGTTTTGGTATCGAGAATCTCTATCCATGTAGCTGAACAACTTTTATCGCATTACGCTGTTCGGTGGACACGTACGTTGCCAATTCACGCACAGGAC